AAACCTCTGGCTAGAATATCAAGACGAGCATCTTGGGAAGTATTGGCCCCATTATTCAAAATTTCTCCCGTAATCTGCTGCAGGGGAGGCTCGATTTCCACATCTTTACATACGGTGCTAAGCAGTGCCGCTTCCAGGTCTCTGATCTCGTTGTGGCGTTGTATCACAAATCCGCCATTTATGCAGGTCATCGCATGGTTCACTTCAAAGATGTCGCCACAGACGCACCAGTTTGGGATGTCAGAGACTTCCCAATTATATCTCAGCTTAAGGGCATCTCTAAATTCTCCTTTATCGAGATCGTATCCTAGGTCTTTTAACGGGATGACAGTGAGCCAACTGGAGGCACCTCTTTCTGATGCTTGTTCTTTCACTTTGAGCGAGTTTGGTGTTAACATGTTATTTACCCTTCAGATTCTTTCAGGGCCTCACGTTTCTTAGCTATGGCCTGGGACTTTGCAGCATTGTTATCTACTTCATCTGGAGTGTGGTGATCTTGATGTATAATTTGAATATATCAACAAAGTTGAAATGGCAGATTGGCCACCGTTAAGATTATAAAAGCTGACGTTTCGAGCGTTAGCCCTTCGTCGGAGCGAATAGGGGAATTGTGGGTTGTGTGTGCTTTTAAAGGCAGAAAAAGGAGCTACGTGATCTTGATGTAAGATAGCTGAGTCAGTGGTCCAGTAACAGTTACTGAGACTTCGTACTCTTGAGATGCCAATTCTACAGGGTTTGCGATACCAAGTCCGCCCAAACGCACTGGGAGAGCAAGTAGGTTGCGCTCTTCTTCATTAATTTAATGATCTGTAATAGCAGGGATTAAAAGATTTTCTATAGCATTCTCAAGTGGCTCAAGTAGATCACTTATATCAGGTAGTGTTCTCAAGAAGTAGGTCCAACGATGACGCAGTCCTACAATGAATGCAGCATAGTATGCCTGAGGTTGGGAAACAGCGAATTCCGCAAGCTTAGTAACTTGGTTAACCCAGTCTTCTACTTTGTCTCCGACGTATTCTTCTAAGAAGGCTCTAGATCCTAAAACCGCACCAAGGTGCTTGTGTCCTTCAGACGTCACGTTGATTTCAGTGTCGGCAAACACTGCCTTTGCAGCACTTTCTCTCTCCGGCTTGGTGATTAGCAAGCACTTTTTGGCATTCAGAAAGTAGCCTAGTCATGGCACACTTTCAATGAGCACATTCCACCACTTTCTGACCTCAAGAAGTGAACCACTTCCGGCAGCATCCTCGGCGAACCAGCACTGCTTAGTTGCGCTTGAAACTTGTAGTTGTGTGATGAGTGACTGGAGACTCATCACACTCATAATAATAATAATAATAGTAATAATAATAATAATAATAATAATAATAATACTAATACTAATACTAATAATAATAATAATAATAATAATAATAATAATAATACT